TTAAGTTTTGCATGCAAATTTTATCTTAAGCACCAGGTAATGTATTCACTTTGTCTTATATTCACACATGTCTCCTGGTTCATCATTGTAGGGACACTGTCCAAGAACCTTTACTCTTAACAGGCATACATTTTCATTGAAATATAGCTTTATGTGAAGATTCTTAGATAAAGTATCATATGCAAGCTAATGTGCTTATAAAAAAGTAATATACAGTGTTTACTTTAAACTAGGAAATTTTTGTACTCCCTGTTTTTATTTGGTTTGATATATATCAACATTTATTAAGAAAAAAGTAAACACACAGTACGATTATATGAATGATGTATTTTTTTTTTTTTTAAATGTGTTGTATAAAAATTTGAAATACATGAACATGTCTGGTTATAAACATAATACGATCAGTGTATTTTCATTTATTTTATTTTTGCATTATCAATAGCTTCACACTTTGTAGCTTATTCATTAGAGCAGCAGCTCAAATTTTATTACACTATCTGATATAATTACAAACAACATCTTATTATTTATTTCACTGAACACCACAAGGACCATAATGACAAAAATGATTTTCCATATGCCCATTATAACCATTCTGAATTTATACTCTGGTGACTGAAGTGGTCATTCTGATACATCCAACCATGCTCCTTCGACTGAGCATAATTTCACTTTGAGCATATTTTTTAACTTATTCTCATTTTAAGTGTAACAATATAATTATGTAAAATGGATATCATTTTTCCCCGATTTTTTTAAAGACTGCATTCATTTATATCTATGCATTGATGCAATCACTATTTCTAAAATAGAGCTGCCAGAAAACAATATTGATGTATGATTGATATTTTATCAATAATCAATACAAATTTAATTTTGACTTACTATTTAAGTGTATAGAAATGAGGAAAATTCAACCAAAAAAATATACAGAAGCAGTTGTCCATGCCTAACATTATCTGTTGTTACATAGTGGAAATATTTCACAGAATTATGACAAAAAAAATGGTCTGGATAAAAATCATGCAATTAGCTTTTTATAAACAAGACACTGAACAGAACATGTTTTCAACTGAAATCATTTTAACAGGTATAAAAAGTGAATAACAGGCAAGTTATTTTAGGTAATAATCAATATATTTGTGTATCCTTGATATTTGTCATCTGATGTAGATAAATCCTTGATATGCCTTGCCTTGAATCATAGACAGCTCTATTTCAAAAATGATATATAATTTGCATATAAATGTATAATCAAACTAAATGAACTAGCCAAAGCCTTATTTTTTAAGTATAATCAGAATTGGCTCAGCTTCTGGGAACAAATTAGGAGGCATGCACCTTAATCACTTAATTACACTTTGTCTCAGTAATATCTCAACAGCAGTTGTTTAAGATCCTGTATGTTGTAATTAAGGATGTAACAACATTTATGTAAAATTTTATATAATTATGTATATAATTATTCTTCTAAAACAATTTCCAAACATCCAAGAATATGTTAAATATGTACTGCAAATGTCCATACGCGTTATAAGTAATCTTTAAAATATATGCATTCATTTTTTTTTATTGAAAAATTTGGCTTAGACTTTATCGAAAATACATTTCTAATTACCTCCCTTTATGAAATGTAAGTTCGGTAATATACTTCAATATTTACAAATAATGCTTTTTGGAACTTACAATATTGATAAATCTTCATTTGAGCATCATATTTATCATATAAAACCATAAAAAAATTTGAGTTACAGGATCTTTAAAGTTATGTCTATTTTAGGTCAATTACTTTTATGAAGTTGCAATCTTCAGAGTAATTACTTTCACTGATGAACACTCTCTGCTCCTCTTCAGATACGATGATAGACGTTGGTTCAAGAGCATCACGTATATGAAAATGTGTTATTTGTGTTGTACCTGGTACAATCACTCCAATCATCTCACTTTTAAACGGATAACATACAAAAACAGAACCACAGTTGGTCACTGTTATGCCGAATGGAGGTCCCATATCTGTTTTATTTACAGCTTTTAGTTGTTTGTTCACTGTGAATTCATACAAAGCATTATTGTCACTGTCTGAGACAAATATGCTATCATTATTTGTATTCAGAGATACAAATTGTGGAAATTCCAATATGCTGGTATCCCTGACTTCATGGAGAATATCACCTTCCATGTTTATTACCTGAACAGCAGGAGGTTCAACAAACGACACAGCCATGATACCATTGCGATGATCTATTCCGTAACACCCTTGCCTAACATTCAGACTGTGGCTCTCAGTTAATCCAACTTGAGTATTCAGAAACAAGATTCTGCCTTCAGATGGTAAAGTTGTCGCAGCAGATGAGGAATTAATGGTTGTAACGTCCCTAGGACACGTTGTTGTTTTCAGTATTGTTGTGACTTTACCTTCTCTATGATTCAAAACTTTCAATGATTCGTTTTCATTATCAGCGCAGAGAATTTCAGATTCAGATATGAGTGTCATTCCGGTGATGTAACAGTCATTTTCATCTTTTGCCTGCACGTTGAATTTCTGTACAAATTGTTTCCTCTTGTCAAATATTGTTTCCTTGCATTTACCTGAAAACTTCTCCAATTGTGTCTCCAGGTGCCCAAGACATGTGTTGTTTAATTTCAAAGCATTTATATCTTCAGAGGCTGAAAATTTTATAGTGTTTATGTTACTTTTAGAAGAAATTTCCTCATTTAATTTCTGATATATCTGTAGTCTTTCTTGTACGCGTTTAGATATGACAAACAAATTACTCATGTTGTTTTTACACTGATCTAGTTTACTTTGATAATCTTCAATTTCATCAAGTAAAGCCTCGCATTGATCTTCAAGCTTTCTCTGTGAATACACATCTCTATCATTTACTTCGTCGACTTTTTGTATAAGTTCTGCTTCCATTTTGTCCAGATAGTTGTCGATCTCTTTACGGAACTGTTTAATTTCTTCGACAACAGCAGTCCTTCTTTCATCTGCTGTTTTCAGGCTGCGATTTATTTCTCCTTTACATGAAGCGATGTTTTTCTTAAGATGATCAAGTCTGTGTTTGATAAGGACAAGATCGTCGCTGTTGTTAAAGTTACACGACTCGTATGAAACTAGCTGAATCTCACAAGAGGTATGTTGGAGAAGAAAACATTCTCTACACCCTACACGATCGTGCTCGAGACAATAAAACTGTACTAATTCAGTATCATGAATATCACAGAGCTCAGTGCATTGATCACTTTTAACCTGAATTTCCGGCTTTACATTTTTGGATTTGATCACGTGATTTTCGGTGCTAGCCAACTTTCCATGTGCGTCGATGCATGATGAACATATAAACTCGTTACAATTCACACAATAACCCTGTGCTTGTACAGTATCACCGTCACACTGGCAAGATTGGCATGAAGATTCTTCACAATCTAAGACTTCCATTTTAAAGTAGAATGTCGTCCCTATCTTCAGAAAGCCCTATATAATTATGTCCGTGTACATATATCACTCGTATTTTCACCAAATCAAGGCTGCTTTATATATCAGTACGGTATCTATTATGGCAAACTAATGAAATGATATGACTGTTACATCCTGATTATCCACTTTTTATCAAAAGTTAAAACTGCACCTGCCCAGTTTATAATTTGTGATGTTATCATTTATCTGTATATGAATAGATAACTGTAATGATTGCAAGTCATTATCAACATTTAGTACTAGCTAGGAAGCTAAAAAATGATATAAAAAATATTATCAAGTTCATGATAACAACTGCATAGATTTGGGTAAAACAAACACGTGTTTTTGCATGGGGACAATATGGTTGTTAAGAATCACAAAACATCCCAATTTTATAACAAGGAACCTCACACATTGATTCTAAAATGTTCATTAATATCAGGCGCTGTTTTTTTCCAATTGACTGTATGAATTGATATATATGATGACCATTTAATCACATAGTTAAACTGTACTTACATAAAAATCTAAATGGAAAGCTTAATGGTCGGCCCAACTGAACAAAATTGACATTGTTACAGTATGGATCCTGTTAACGGTCAGAATTTGTATAGCCTCCAATATCTCCTGGCACTGGTTTTAGCAAAATTCAACATTTAAACATGAAAATGGTGATTAATTTAGAATTTTAAACCATACGCAGGCGTTTCTATAATAATCATTCAAGCGGAAAATATATATGTATTATGAGCAAATATTTCAGCTGCCGATCAATCCTGTGAAGTTTCATTGAAATTGCATTAGTGGTTCATATATAAGACGGGTAGTCCAGCCGATCATAACCCGAACACAAATCATTAAACCATAAAAAGCCGATGTTATGCGCAACTAGACTGAACATTCCTATAAGTTTTGGTGAAATTGCAGAAGAAGCCTGGAAAAGCTTCTGTGTAGCTGGCAACACTAAAAAAAACCACTATTTTTATTAAACGGCCATAACTACAAATAAAGTTTGGTTGAAATTGCACCAGTACTTTTTGAGGAGTAGTCCAAACAAAGTTTGTGACGGACGGACGGACAGACAGACGACGGATAAGTGATCCCTATATGTCGCCACTACTCTGTAGAGGCGACACAAAATCAATTGGGGGTCATCAAAATGCTATTAAACTGTTATATGTTTTCAAAACAACCACATAACCTATTTTTTTATTCTTTATTTTACTTCTATACTTCAAAAATAATATTTAAACAAAATATTCAAAACACATTAGATCTATATACATGTTTATAATATAAGGATCTTACATAAGCCAACGACAAATCAAATGCTTTTTTTTCTTTTTCTTTTTTATTACGCTTTCACACACAATTATAGAATAATAATACAGTAAAACATTATTAAACCGGATATGGTCGAGAGTGGCGGCCAACATTTCCGGCTCAGTTAGGATTCCGATTTCTGAGTAATTAAGACAAGGAGATCTAATAATAATAATAAATAAATACCAGTAAAATCGCAATTTCGGCAGATCATTTTTATATAAGATATGTACACATATTATAAAGAAATATCTAAAATGATTAAATAGAGAAAAACAGAATCCCTAAAGAAAGTCTAACACGGAAAATTGAAACAACCGCAAATGTGAATCATACGGCGGTAATGAAGGAACCTTCAATGTGACATAGCAGTGCCATTCCATGAAAAGCGTAAGACACGTTAGCTATGCCTCGGAAACGAAAAATGTTTTCCCCTTCTTTAGAAGGGGCAAATATGAGTTCTATATAGTTTTAATAACATTTTTAGAGCATGTGATATGCAGAAGCAGTAGCGCTGAATGTGAAATAATTTGTCACAGAAGTAAATAAAAAATGTTAGCAAAGAAATATTTAACCCCTATCAATACTAAAATACTTTAACAGTGCCAATTGTCAAAAAGTAAAATAAGCACATTGTGACAACTAACTGTGTGAGGAAGCTATATCAGCACACCTAAAAAGATTTTTGATTTGATAATGATAATAAAACCAGTTTTGGTGCACACTGGGACTGTAAACTAAAGTGAACCAAATCAAAAACAATATATTAAAACTTGAAAGTAATAAATACGAAAATTTACTAACAATAAGACATGACAGTATAACGTGTTTCGAAATCAATACATTATCAAACTTTGTATAGTTGTTTACAAAAGATAAGATCACTAACTATAATGTGTACACTACTGTCAAACCTAATACAAAAGCACGTTGTGCACTACGACTTTAATTTTAAAGGCACTGTATTCCTAAAAAAACAAAAAAGTTGTTCTTTCTTTAGAAAGGGCAGACATGGGTTTTATAATGTTAAATAAGGTTTTAGAGAATGTTACATGCATATCACCTGAAGAAAAAAGTGCTGAGCATAAAATAATTTGCAATAAAAGTAATAAAATGTAAATTAAAAATCCTGTATGTTGTAATTGAGGTTGTATATCACACTTAAGTGAAATTATATATATGTATATATATATATATATATATATGTATATTTTCTTTCAGACACTGAAATATCGGTTGAATCTTATTGCATTCCAAAAATAAATGTAAAAGTGTTTATTTTTGACATTCACAAAAGGTGCACATTTTAGAATAAACTATTTTCATTTTAAATAAAAGAGAGTTTGTTCAATAGTTCTTGTCTGAAACCATTGTATGTACATTTAAATATTAAGGTTGTGTGTTTATCTTCAAACTATGATCCTTTAAAAAATTGTATCATAGTTTGGAGACCTTTCTGTTGAAAATGTGTCAGGGTTAAATCGTATACATATACGTATGCACAGTGCGTTAACTGGAGTGCGGGTATTAGTTACCCGCACTCCAGAGCATGCCCATTGATTGGCTCATTTTTACTGGGGTTTACATATTGTGACGGCAGAGAAAGTGAAAGCGACAGAAATATCATATTCAGATGTTCGTCGTTGGTTCATTTTTGCCGGGGTTTCATATTGTGACAACAGGGAACGTGTTTTTATGTTTGACTATGATACAAAAGAGAAAGAACACCAAAACACTCGGTAATCTGATTAATACTCGGGGGCTACGCCCCCTCGTACAAATCAGATAACCTTGTGTTTCGGTGTTCTTTCTATTACTTAATTGGTCTATATGTAATTTGTTCTATGTAAATCTTAAAATGTTATATTTTGATTTTAAATGTCCTTAACAAATCTAAATCTTATAAAGTTTTAATGAAAAAGATATTTCTTCCTGTTATCAATTTATAATTATAAAATAGTGGCATATACAACAATAATAATGATTATCAATTAGTACAATACATCAATCCAGAATCTATTCTTAATCTTTTAAAAGTCCAATTCACAAAACAATTTTCCGGTATTAAAAAATTGATCAATTTTAAACAGTGACTTCGCAAGGTTAAAATATTTTCGTCACTAATACTACCACCCCGCTTTGAGCCATTGTATCTTTAAAAAGTGTAACTATGAATATCAACCATATTCTGACCACCTTTTTGTTTGTCTTTGTAATATCTGATTACTTTTGTTTTGCCTTGCCTCTCCATGTGAAATCATAAAATAAATAAGAATACTGCACTAGGAGTTTGCAAACTTTGAAACAATGTGTAAATAACGGAAGAAAAATAGACTGAACAAAAGTGACTTTACCTTTTGTGTTTACATTTTTTTTTCAATTAATTGTACTATTTTTTACCTTTTGTATTTTTTTCGTCAATCAATTTGTCTAAATCTACATCAAATATCAAACCTAGCAATTAAAACTGTGTATCACCCTATGTAAATTTCCATTTTGTTTTGATTGATTTAGTGGACCTATCAAAATGGTTTTATCAAAATTTACTTTAAGTCCAGAAATCCAACAATTTTAGGGCATTATTTCAGAACCATCTACTAAAAGTGATATATCGTGTGCAAATTGTGTTATTATATGTGGCCAACATTCCTGCATATAAAATGAAAATATATGACTATGGTGATTTGTGTATTTAATTGGCTGAGCGTCTTGGGACATTGAACAATACCGTAATAACACTATGTAGCGAAAAAACGTACAATCATATTAACATTCCGTTATCCACAAATTTCGACACTGTCATGAGAAATGCACAAAATCTTGCAGGTACAAAATATGCTGTTGATAGAGATTATCCACCTGAAACCAGAACTGCTCAAATCAAACAAAGCAAAAAGTAATTATTTATCTTTTACTATCTTTCTTAACGAACTATTACGGTGAGACCGAAGGGTATGAGTTTAGTCGTCATCATAATGGGGTTGAATGTTCTATACATTTGACTGTAACACATTTTCGTTAATTTGCTAAAGATTTTTCAAGATTATAACTTTTACAAGAAGTTATTGTTTAAACAAATCAATCTTTGACAACATATCTTTATAGAATACATGTATCATGAACTGAAGAAGCAAAATTTATATTTGTTTTTAATTTTGTATTTTTTTGTGTGTCTTTATTCGTTTAATTCTTTTGCATCAAAAAAAATAAAATAAAGGTGATGCTTATGCCGTGTCGAAAAAGGTTCGGAAGCGGTTTATTGTCTTTAATTCGTAAATCAGAAACATTTTGTCATCATCCTCTGCAAAGTCTAAAATGAAATAATGTGATATAAACAGCTGCAGATATCCTATCATCGTACATTTGTTTTCTTCTAAATTTCGTAGATTTGTTTTGGACTTGATTTGCATAATTTCAATAAATATAAATTCCAACCGATAGTTAATGGTTCATTGACAATTAGATATTTTTGAAATAGCTTATATTTAGATATTTTTGTCTGTGTACGTTGATCGATAAAATTGAAATTGCTTGATTTGTTCAATGAGGTTTTTGAAAATTGCAAAAATGTCGACATTATCAAATAAATTATTCAATTTTTGACAATAAAATTATGCTATGTTTGAACATGATTAGCACAAATAGATCGCAGTTGTCAATAACAGATATGTTTAACTGTCAGTAATCATTGCATGTTTTCTATACCTTGTTTTTTTTAAAGTTTTAATCTCTGACAAACAGCTTTTTCATATACTGATTGGTG